GAGGAGTCTAGAGGAGTCTAGAGGTGTGTAGAGGAGTGTAGAGGAGTGTATAGGTGTATAGAGGAGTGTTTAGGAGTCTGGAGGAGGCTAGGGGAGTGTAAAGGAGTCTAAAGGAGTGTAAAGGGAGTGTAGAGGTGTGTGGAGGAGTCTAAAGGAGTGTAGAGGTGTGAAGACAAGTGTAGAGGTGTGTGGAGGTGTGAAAAGGAGTGTGTAGGAGTCTAGAACGGTGTAGAGGAGTCTAAAGGAATGAAAAGGGAGTGTAGAGATGTGTAGTGGAGTCTAGAGGAGTGTAGGGGAGTCTACAGGAGTGTAGAGGAGTGTGTAGGAGTCTAGAGGAGGCTAGGGGAGTCTAGGGGAGTGTAGAGGTGTTTAGAGGAGTGTAAAGATGTCTAGAGGTGTGTATGGGAGTCTAGAGGTGTGTAGGGGACTCTAGAGGTGTTTAGGGGAGTCTAGAGGAGTGTGTAGGAGTCTAGAGGAGGCTAGGGGAGTCTAGAGGAGTGTAGAGGAGCAGCGGCTGTCTGAGGGCGGCTCCTCCTTTCTCAGATCACTGACAGTGTTTTCTACGGACGCCTGTTTCCCACAGCCGGCTCGCTGGTGGAAGCAGAGGAAACAGACACAGTTTGCCCTCTGGATGAGGACCCCAAGGGAAGAGGGGTCAGCTCAGGGACCGGAGACCCAACTGAGAGCGGCAAGACCGGCGAAAAGGCCTCACTGGACACAGCGGCTGAGTGTGTTCTGCAGGGAGAGGCCGAGGAGGAGGAGGAGGAGGAAGAGGAGGAGGAAGACGCCCCGGTACCGTCTGAGCACCAGCCAGCCGGTCAGCCCGCAGAGCAGACCGCTGCCCCTCAGCTTACATACACAGAGGAGGAGGATGAGGAGGAGGGAAGGCCCTCAGAGGATGACAAGGGAGAGGAAGAACACCAACCGCAAAGGGAGGACGCAGAGGAGCGGGAGGCAGGAAGACCAATGAGAAGACAGGAGAACACCGATCACCAGTACTCAAGTGGAGACTACAGCCATCAGCTTCAGGAATCAAAAGCGGAGCAGAGTACAAGGAACAAGCAGAAGAAGGACGAGGAAGAGGAGCTGGAGGAGGGAGAGGAGGAGGAGGAAGAGGAAGAGGAGGAGGAGGAGGAGGAGGGAGAGGACACTCCGTTCCATTTAAGTCCAACCACTCAGGGATCTGAAGCAGCTGTGTCACTCAGGGAAGAGAAGGTCAGCACCCTCATGGCTGAGGAAGAGGAGGAGGAGGAGGAAGAGCAGGAGGAGGAGGAGGACAGACAGGAGACGGAAACAGGCGAAGTCGTGGAAGATGAGGACCGAGACTCCAGCAAAGCTTCCCCGAGCACGGTGGTCATCGAAGTCCGCTCCGAGGAGGACGACGACGAGGAGGAGGAGGAGGAAGAGGAGGAGGAGGAGGAAGAGGAGGAGGATGAGGAGGAAGAGGAGGAAGAGGGGGAGGCGGAGGAGCAGGACCGTATCTCCGAGGGCTCAGGTATCACAGACGACTCAGAGAACTGGGACATGACCCGGGGGAACCTGGGCCTGCTGGAGCAGGCCATCGCCCTGAAGGCCGAGGAGGTGCAGGGAGGTCAGGACACCCGCAGCTCCCCCGACTACCAGCCGCACGCCAGCTCCGCCAAGACCGCCGAGGCCGCCGCCGCCCGCCGCTCCGCCCACTGCAGCAAAGGTACGCCCGCCCCGCCACCGCCCACAGGGAGCCGGGAACCAGAGGGAGCCGGGAACCAGAGGGAGCTGGGTCCAGAGGGAGCTGGGAACCAGAGGGAGCTGGGAACCAGAGGGAGCTGGGAACCAGAGGGAGCTGGGAACCAGAGGGAGCTGGGAACCAGAGGGAGCTGGGGTCCACAGGGAGCTGGGTCCAGAGGGAGCTGGGACCCAGAGGGAGCTGGGAACCAGAGGGAGCTGGGAACCAGAGGGAGCTGGGAACCAGAGGGAGCTGGGGTCCAGAGGGAGCTGGGACCCAGAGGGAGCTGGGAACCAGAGGGAGCTGGGAACCAGAGGGAGCTGGGAACCAGAGGGAGCTGGGGTCCAGAGGGAGCTGGGACCCAGAGGGAGCTGGGAACCAGAGGGAGCTGGGAACCAGAGGGAGCT